AACTAATAAACATGGCCTTCAAGCCCCTCAAAATTGTCTCTGTGCCTCTTGGTAGACGTCTCCAAACCTCCGCATTTGATCTCCGCTAGCTGTATTATTTTTATTTACCTTTTATGGCTTAACCAATCAAAAATCTAAATATAGATACAGGATTCGGTTGGAGCAGTACATGATTCAGCCGGGGCGGGCAGTACTGGATTATGGTAGGTCGTTATATGATTCGGACAGGACAGTACAGAAATCTGCTGGGGCAGTACTAACAAAGGCAAGGCAGGCACGTCTTTTAAGATCAAAGTGTGTCAGAGGCAAAAACAACCAAATCAATTTAGTTGACTCAATCATTTTTCTAAACGTAACGCCTTGTCACTGTCAAGTTCCCTATATATCTTCTTGATGCTAACTTCAGGGGGTTGAGGTTTGTGATCTCCTTCTTATCCAACCTCTGCTTGATGATTATGAATACCCTATTGGTACATTAGGACTAAACAAGGTTTTGTGTAGAAAATTGATTTAGTCAATTCCCAGGTGCCTGGCAGCTGTCATCACCAAGGTGAACCATGAACTAAAGTAGTACATATATATATATATATATATATATATATATATAATCTTATACCAATAAACTGTTTTATTCATGTAAACATCGTGGTTCAGCTTTTATAAGAATATATTCAAAAGTCCTGAAAACTTTTTACTCACTCTTTATGTTTAGGTGTCTTGTTGATCTATCTTTAGTTGTCTAATTAATATATGTTTAAGTGTCTAGTTGATCTTTGTTCAGGTGTAAAATTGATCTATATCAAGGTGTCCAATTGATCAATGTTTAGGTGTCTTTAATTGATCTTTGTTTGTAATAAATATCATAGTAAACCTATCCATTACATTTAACATTAACCTAACTACAATCATAAATAGACGTCCTGATCTCCATTGTGATTAATAACTACGTTAGCAAATAGCTACCTTATACTTGTAATTATGATTGAACCTAACTACGCTTATCAAATGTGACCTTTGACATAGAACTTAAATAATTGTTAGTTGTAATAATACTCTGCTTTGATTACGGTGTGAGAGTAATTTGTTCCTCGTTTAGCAAACAAGAAGGTCTATATCTAGAGAAGTCATATCTCTAGATATAGACTAGGACGTGTATCTTAACCGATACCTTATTGAGGAATCTCCAGTTTGAGATTAAGTGTATCTTTGATGATACCTTATTGAGGAATCTCCAGTTTGAGATTAAGTGTATCTTTGATGATACCGTATCGAGGAATATCCAGTTCAAGATTAAGTGTATCTTTGATGATACCGTATCGAGGAATATCCAGTTCAAGATTAAGTGTATCTTTGATGATACCGTATTGAGGAATATCCAGTTCAAGATTAAGTGTATCTTTGATGATACTGTATTGAGGAATATCTAGTTCAAGATTAAGTGTATCTTTGATGATACCTTATTGAGGAATCTCCAGTTTGAGATTAAGTGTATCTTTGATGATACCTTATTGAGTTATCTCCAGTTTGAGATTGAGTGTATCTTTGATTATACCGTATTGAGGAATATCCAGTTCAAGATTAAGTGTACCTTAGACAATAAAGTATTGGGGAATCTCCAGTTCGATATTAAGTGTATCTTGACAATACAGTACTGAGGAATCTTGAGTTCTAGNTCTATGTCAAGGTGTTTAATGATTTATATTCAGATGTCTAATGATCTATGTTCAGGTGTCTAATGACCTATGTTTAGGCGTCTAATGATCTATGTTCAGGGGTCTAATGATCAATATCAAGAGGTCTAATTCAGGTGTAAAATTGATCCATATCAAGGTGTCTAATTATCTATATTCAGGGGTCTAATGATCTATGTTCAGGTGCCTAATGATCTATGTTCAGGTGTCTAATTGATCTATGTCAAGGTGTCTAATGATTTATGTCAAGGTGTCTAATGATCTATGTTAAGGTATCTATATCTAAACCTGGATGTATGGAGGTACTGTGCTCCATGGAACAATGTTTGATTGATCCTCTAGTTCTCTCAGAGTTGGAGAAAGGATCTGAGTCAGGTAATCATTTTCTTTTGTTTTAACCAAAGTACTCTGGAATAGGAAGACGAATTTCTAAATCAATTCATGACATTAAATAGTCCAATGAAAATGAGACACAGCTGTGTGATGTTCCTTCATTTGGTTATTTTTTGGGTTGTTGTTTGTTCATGTATTCTTTAAGGGTCAAAATTTGGCGTAGTAAAAAAGCTAATGTTTACTATTCCTTTTATGTCCAATTTTGACGCTGCCAGAAGATATTGATTTACTGTCGTCTTTCTGTTCCACCATTTTCCAGTTCCCACTGTTGTATTTCTTATCTTACTCATTATTTTCAATTCAAATTATCGGTTCCTTGCTCATTTCTTTTTCAATCCTTCCTATGAATTATAATTATGAATTCCCTACGCTAATAATAATTATTTTGCATCTAAATGTAAATTATAGCTGTATTGAATAATTCAATAAAATAACATCTGTATGGTGTTTTAAAAAGCCATCTGTTTTACCCAAAAAAAACCCCACTTTTTTAGCAAACATTCTTGACATGAATCTATGTAGTAAGGTCAGATATAATCATAACGTGTGGAAAAAGTCCCAAATTCCTTTTTTTCTAATGAGAAATATTACAGGAAGAAAAGTCCCGGATTTTAGATTTCTAGGACTTTTCCCCTAGAAAATTAAGTCTTAAAGACAACAAAATTAACTCTTTAAAATCCCAGTTCTCTGTCTAAAGTTTCAAGATTTTTTCCTTCAAATTTCTTCTTGTAAAAAGTTTGCTTTAAACTCTAATTTCCTGAGTCTAAAACTAAAGAATGCGCGAATTTTAAGTTCGAGGTTAAAAGTTCTGTAAAATAATGAGTGGCTACTTGAATATTAAACTTTCTCAATTTTAAATTTGAATTTCCCGGGAAAATCTGAACCAATCAGAGAAAAGGATTTACGGAGAATATTACATAACCATCGCTAATCAGCTGATTACGTAACCGAAAACAAAACATGTTTCGAGTTACAACCGTATTTTGGGTTTACATGCAAAAATTAATTATTCTAAAACGAAAAATTTCTTTAACAAGGTTTTCACTTTTAAATATAACGTAAAGTTGAATGCCACTTTCTCAGCTGAATGATGATTGAATAATAGACAAATAGGGAAAATGCAGGATTTCAAGATTTTAACCCTGTGTTTAGATTTTAACTCGTCGATTTCGGCGAGTTAAATATTTAACCTCACGGTTAAAGTTCAGGTTTAAATTAAGTCAAAAGTGGCATTTAACCATGAACTTAAAATTTAAGTCAAAACTTTTCGTTCTTTAGTTTTAGACTCTGATCATTATATTACTCGATCTGAAGACGTAGACTTTTAACATGTCAAACTAGGAATTCTACAATGTTCTACAAGTGTTCAATCCCTTTTATCTTGTACAGGGATGTACAACTGGAAGGGGGCAAACTATACAGAGTTCTGGGGGCGCACTCTGGAGGAGGGGGCAAAGGGCCGCTTAGGGGCAATTAGACCAGACCACCCAATTACTAAACAGGTAAGTTTCTATAAAAAATAGAAGGAGGATTTAAAAATATAATTACGTAAAATAATAAAAAAAACTTGAGGAATATCTGGGAATCATGAAAATACAAAAAGAAGTTGATAAATATCTTGTCCTCCTGGAAAATAAATTAATTAAAAATAAAAATCATATATGTTGGCAACTTCTAATTGCAAATTGACATATTCCATCATCTGATATCATATAATCATATAATCATATCTCTGCCTTTTCAGACTAATTTGGCACATTTTTTAAGGCAAAGAATAAAATGAAGATTTAATATACTGTATGGTGAATAGTTACATATTTTAGAATTCAAGGCTTCTTTCATACACGCTGTACACAATATACATACATTTTAGAAATAGATGTCATAGGGCACGTACGTACGTGTCAAATGCTCATACAGAAATGCTTTAGGTTGCATACACCTTAAATACATACACACTACATAATACATGTAAAAAAATGTTCTTGGTTTCGTACATTTATAAAGCATATTGAGAATATTTGGTAAAAACAAATGTTCTCAATTACGTACATGTTAAAAAACAATGTTCTAGGTTTCTTATTTGTTAAAACAAATGTTCTCAGTTAGGTACATGTTAAATGTGTTAAACAATAAATGTTCAATGGGTTGCGTATATATTAAACAATACATTTTCATGGGTTGCGTATATGTTAAACAATAAATGTTCAATGGGTTGCGTATATGTTCAATGGGTTGCGTATCTGTTAAACAATACATGTTCCATGGGTTGCGTATATGTTAAACAATACATGCTCCATGGGTTGCGTATATGTTAAACAATACATGTTCCATGGGTTGCGTATATGTTCAATGGGTTGCGTATCTGTTAAACAATACATGTTCCATGGGTTGCGTATATGTTAAACAATAAATGTTCAATGGGTTGCGCTGCGCAATGCGAACACGTTATGTTGTTCCAGGGTGTGCAATGCGTACATTACATGTTATTTTGTTCTAGGTTGCGTACATGTCTGCAATAGAATTCTCGTATTCTCCCTCCACCCTTCCAGTATCCTTCTTAGCTGAGACAAGGTGGCCCAGACTACTTTCATCAATTATAGATCAGGTAGATACATATATTGTAAAATCTGTGTAGGAAAGTCACCAGGAAAAAAGTTTCTGGAAAAAAAACTTTGGTAAAAAAGTCCCAATTTTCCCAAGCCCTAAGAAAAAATCTCACTGGAAATAAAGTTCTGAGTTTTAGATTCCTGAGACTTTTTTCCCTATAATAGTATAAAGGCTGCCATTAAAGTCTCAGGAAATAAGATCACAGGAATTAAAGGCATGAAGAAAATATAGCCTAAGAAAAAACAACAAAGTAAAAAAGTCCTAGGTCTTAGGAAAATGAGGTCAAGTCTGAGACATTTTCATAAAAAGGTCTTTTCTTCTATGCATCTGCATATGTAATATACCCACGGGTGTTTTTAATATCAAGCTGCTTTTTTGTTGTGAACATCGTTTGTTCCCGAGCATTTTCTACTATGATGGGATTTTTTTCCGGGAACGTTTTTGTATAAAATCAAACTGGAACTAAAAATCATAGTGGAACCAGAAAAAAAGTTCCAGAAAAAAAAGTCTCAAAATGTTAGGACTTTATTCCAAAGGACTTTTTTAGTGCCAAAATTTAGAACTTCATTTCCAAAAAAAAAATTTCAGAGAACTTTTTGGCCCTTACCTTATTGTTGTAGTGTACATCTTTCAGGTTATCTATATATAAATTTGGCTTGTCTGTCTGTTTGTTTGTCTGTCTGTTTGTATCCTATAAACGTCAAAACGGCTGAACCGATCGGGCCCAAATTTTTTTGTGGGACATCTAGGTACCCAAGGGAAGGTTTGTGAAGGATCAAAATTTCAAATATTTGTCTCCATCAAAATTCGATCTTCATTAAATTTTTGAAAATTTGGAAAATCCACGAAATTTTTTGTGAAAATCCGCGAATTATTTTTGTTTTGTTTTACGATGTACACAAAGAGAACATGTTCACATGGGCGAAGCGCCCTCTAAGGCTAGTTTTATACAAACAAACACCCAGAAACTTACTGAATATTGTATAATTTGTATAATGTTGTAGAAATTAGAAGAAAATGGTAGAAAATGGCAGAAACGGTAGGAAACGGTAGAAAACGGTAGAAAATGGTAGAAAATGGTAGAAAATGGTAGAAAACGGTAAAAAACGGTAGGATACGGTATAAAACGGTGGAAAAAAGTAGAAAACGGTAGAAAGCGGTGGAAAAATGGTTGAAAACAGTGGAAAACGTTGGAAAACTTTAGAAAACGGTAGAAAACGTTAGAAAATGGAAGAAAACGGTAGAAATCGGTGGAAAACGATGGAAAACGGTGGAAAACGGTGGAAAACGGTGGAAAACGTTGGAAAACGGTGGCAAACGATAGAAAATGGTAGTTAACGACAGAAAAAGGTAGAAAAACAGTATAAAACTGTACAGTAGAATTTATATGTAAGAAAGTTTCGGGAAAACAGGTTCTGAAAAAAGCGTGGAAATTTAAACTTGAGAAAACAATTTTCTCAAGTCCTGAGAAAAATGTAACTGGAAAGAAAGTCCCGTGTTTTAGATTCCTGTGACTTTTTCTTGAAACTAAAGTAACAAAATGATAGGACTTTATCTAGAGACTAGATACGTTTTGTTATAAGAACTTTTCTTTAACTTTTTTTAGTGCCAAATTTTAGGACTTTATTTCCGAAAATAGTATAGAATAATAGAACTCTTTGGCGGTTACCGTACAGAAATCTAAATTATTCTAAATAAATAACATTATAAACATATGTCTAGGGTTGGTGTTCCTCCTCCTGGGCTATTAGCACAGTGGGTGTAGCCAGTGACAGAATAAGGAAAACCAAAAACAACCTTAAAATGATGCAATCAGTGCTGGAGGTGGGGTTGTTACAGTTTCCCTCCCAAAACTTCTGAGGTATGGGGTTGTGGTGGTGTGCCCCCTCTCCTGGGCTGTACCTAATTTTTTTTTTCAATCAAAAGGACACAAAAACGTTCTTTTCCCCATGAATCAGCCTTTTTTGCGCAATTTTGTCCCACCTGGATAAAGTCCTTGTCAAATTTTTGTTTTTCATTTGATTGTTTTTTTTTCGGATAACAGTATTGGACATGGACAGCGTGTTACACTCGGAGCCCAGGTATTCAATTCAGTTCAATTTTAAGAATTATAAAAAACTTTAATTTTGGGTCTCCTTGATTGTTTTTGACAGTTTACGATCTTAAACAGTCTATAGTTATGTTACATGTAATCCTTAAGTGTGGAATATAAAGACGACATTGGAGCAATATATAATTGTGTTTGATTCGTTAAAAAGCAGATATTTTTACTAGTAGCTTAATAATCAATTTTTTAGGTAAACTAGGTTTGTTTCTCATTTTCAATTAAAATCATATCTTTCGTTGTATGACAATTAAGATTTAGTTTCTGGACACTAACATTGTTACAAAACAATTTTTCTCTAATTCTATGTTCAAGGGACTTCTGAATTGTGACACACGAGGCCAAGGTGGATGCAAGGGAGGACATGTTGACCAAGCCTGGCATTTTCTACGCAAATCAGGGTCAGTAGATTATACAGTGGTCAACAAAATTAAATGAAAAGAACGACAATATGAATTTATATTAAATCTGAGTCTAAATGAAAAGAACTTTAAATATGAATTTAAACTAAATCTGAGTCTAAAACTAAAGAGTGCACGAGTTTTTGAAGTTTATAGTTTAAAAGTATTTTAAATTAATTGATTCAGGGTTAAATTTAGTTTTTACAAAATATGAAACTTCAGAGACGACAATTTGTTTAGTTAGTTTTCTTATATTGCTTGCTAAAACTGGCATTTTTCTTTGATTAGATATTTATTAAACACCGCAGATACTGAATTGAAGATTATAAAGAAAAATAAAGGTTCAAATTTTTATATTTTGAAAGTTTGGATCGTCTTTACAGTCTAATCGATAATCCTTTGTTGTACAAAGATGATATTCTCAAGGTTTTTACCTACAGGGTGTCCCAAAAAAATGGGAATTCAGTGACGAATTCGATATCGTCTTTGTTATGAATTAGCATTGTAATACCTAATTTCAAAAGCCATAATATTATTAAGTCTGCTAGAGTTAATTTAATGAAAAGGGTAAAAGACTGCAAAGATGTGTCTATAATGTCTCCGCAAGATGAACAGTGAAGACGGACAAGTTTACTCTGTTTGTATACTGCAATTTTCTTGTTTTACTAAGTACAACCGTATGCAGTCAAAACATAAACAAACAAAATGTGAACATAGCAGACGAAATTCTTAAAGATTACAGCTTTCTCAGAAGGTATCACTATACTAAATCAAAGAATTGTTTGAAAAGACGATATCGAATTCGTCACTTAATTCCTATGATTATTGGGACACCCCTGTATATAGTATGTACACACAAAGGTTGAGAATCAGAGATTTTAATAACAACCTAAAACTACATTCTGAGTGTTGATATTGAACTTCTGCCCTAAGTATGGTTTTTCAATGATTTATCAAATGATTTTGCAAAACCTAAGAATAAAAATCAATAAATTCTGTACAGTCGTCTCTGAAGTCTCATCCTTGATGGGTAACCCTATAAAATTTCTCTAGAGTATGGGAGGAATCCTGTGTACCGTACAGTGGTGGTGAAGAGAGTACAACTGGAGCATGTACCAGCTACAACTGCCAAGCGTACAAGATGCAACCAGCGTACAGGAATACAACACTTACAAACTTTACCAATTGTACAGGGGTAACAAAAAAAAAGTTGAGAATGTGCATCTCAGGAAGTAGTTATTTTGTTCCACGATTTAATTTTCCAGACTGGCTTTTACTTAACTGGTAGCTTTTGTACATAAATACTTTCAAGGTGCAAAGAAACTTAACATTTTTTCAAATTGACGTTTCTAATTTGTAAAAAAATTAATTAGCCACTATTTTCAAAATACTTTTACAATAAAACAAAATAAAGAAGACGACAATTGATCTTCTGACTTCTGATAATCATTACTTATATATTTATTGTGTATATTAAATAAAAAAAAATTAACGCAAAAACGTCACTTTGATTTGTTTAATTTTTTTTGTTAAAAATAAGTTGTGTTTAGAGTAGGGAGATACAACACTTACTCCCAGCCTAGGTAACTTAGAAAGTACAGGGTGTCCCACGAAACATGACAGTTGGTAATAAGTTTTAAATGTCTTCTTCCATAATTTATTCTGTTGTTTGATACCAAAGAGAATAATGAAAAATATTATATGGCATTAATATAATAGTAAATTTAATTTCAAACGCTTAGGGGAAATTAGACC